ACGTTTGGCTAACGATTCAATAAAACAAAACTTAAAAAGTGGCTGGTATAGTGCTCCAATGAGGTGAGCCTGGTTATCTTTTTAAATAAAAGACAAAAACAACAACTCAACATCAGAAATGGTAGAGAGATGACTCTAGAGCAGTGTTCTTCGATAATTTTCAGAGGCGGGGGCCACTTTAGCCGATGCGACATCAGCAGTGTGAGGGCCGCCACACGGGGTGTCTTCACGATTTGTGTATCATCGAGGGCCGCACTAAAGGCCACCAGGAGCTGCTAGCGACCCGCGGGCCTTGCAGTGAAGAACACCACTCTAGAGAGAGACCCCCACATCCCTGGCCTCTCTCTCTGGGCTGTGCAGAAACGTCGCCTAGATGTTTAAGCCCACACACAGCGCTACTGACGAACGCAGTGCGTTTCATCTTCTTGGTTCTTTCGGTAAAGTCAAGTAGAAGGGAAATAATAAAATAATACAAATTAAACATAATACAATAATTCTCACGACGTTTCGGCCACAACGCAAGCAGCCCTTCTACGTGACTTTATCGAAAGAACCAAGAAGATGAATCCCTGCAGTCACGAAAGCTTTAAATCGAAAAGCAGTGCGTTTCGTTGTTGTCACCGCTGCCGACGCAGCAGGTGGTGGTGGCAGCTTCCGACAAGTAGTTTTAAAATGCATACATGGGTTATCAGGTTTGGCCAGGACCTCCCTTGTTTTATTGAGCATCGGTGGGTCCATAAACCTCTAAAGTGGTGCTGCCAGAGGAATGCATTTTCGTTTCAGAGCAAAGTCATTACTTCCACAAACCATGTGAAGAGTTGAAAAAAACCAGAAAACAGGTCATGGGAAGAAAAAAGTGCACCCACAAGCAAGCAATCAAACGAGCAAATTCTCAGGCCATAATGGTTTTGCAAGTTTACCACCTCGGCCCCGCTGCAGAGAATGCTCGAAACGTTTCCTCTTTCACCTCGTAAGCGCATAACCGCGCGACCTTTAATAAAAAAAAACCCGAAAGAGGCCCAGCTAATTCCGAAATAAAGCCCTCCTTTATAATCGTCCACGCTCGTCAAACGTGGCACCGCGACTCGACTCCCTTTGAATTTATTGCCCGCACTTATTACACGCGCACAAAAAATATTATAATAATAATCCTGGCCCCCCCCTAGCCTCCTTCCCCCCCCCCCCCCGAACAGGACACACCGTAATTTAAAGATCAGAGAGTGGGCTGGGTGGTGTGGGGTGTGCGCACCGTCGCAAATATTTCCGCGAGGAATTTGCTGGCACGTGGCCAGACAAGCGTGCGAGGCGATAGTGGCTGGCGGAATTGCGCGCTCTCTGACCCGAAAAGCATCGGGCTGACATCGAAGGAAAGTCTAATTACGCCGATGAAATAGGGGCACCCCTTGACGTGCCGCTCACTCGCACGGGACGGGCGTCCGCGTCTCTCTCTCTCTCACTCCGTGTCGCCGGGTTTTTCCGGCAAGAAGGTTAGGAGAAATGCCATAGCTCGCTTGCCAGAAAAAAGGGGGAAAACATATTCTCATACTTTGGTAACTGGCAAAGAAGGTCCCATGATGTAGCTGCTCAGCCCGAGCTCTCATTACTCTGATAGTGCATTGTCTTTGTGCTGTACGCCTTTTGGCGTCCTCTGGTCTAACACCGTTTAAGATGAGGCTCAAAAGAAAGATGTCGCTGGTGTGGACCAATCAGTTTCAAAGGCAATGCATATATTATCAGAGTATGTTTTTTGTTTGCATTCTGACCACAAGTATTGTGGTTAATGCACACATGATTCCTTGTAAAAGGTTTCAGTTTGGTGTTTTAACATCTTAACGCAACTGTTTTGTTGCCATCTCATCAGAATCTTTATTTGCACGGGAGGAATCGGTATCGTCCTCGAGACACTGCCGTGGTGTCGTGGGTGAGCTCAGTCCAGTCTTGGTTTGCTTGGGAGGTTCTGAATTGAAAGAATGTAAAGATATACATGCACATGCTTAAATTCCGCCATAGTAAAATGGTGAGCGAACTGGACTTGCAATCCAGAAGGTTGCTGCTTTGATTTGATCTCCCGGCACGGCAATTAAAACAATCTTAAAGTTTCCTATATCACCCCCCCTCCCCGCCGACACCTTTGTTACCTCGACACTACAAAAGGGGCATGCCACAGTTAATTGACTGCGGGGAGGTTACCGCTGTTGTTGGGCAAAATGCGGGTACTCACACCGTGAGCAAGACATTGCAGGCCTGCACTTCTACCTTTGACAGAGGCGAGTCGTTCTGTGGGGACAACCACAGGGCAACGTGCCACAAAGTGGTGCTAGTTTTATTTAGTGCCACTCTTACCTTTTATTTTTTACACGTATTTAGTTTTTTTTAATATATACAGCGGTATCCATATTAAAACTGTGATTTGGGATGGAATCCGTCACGCATCCGTTATTTTGACGTAAAACTCATTCAGCTGCCTAAATGGATGGTATTGCATTTTTCAAAGTCCAAAGGACGTGCAGAGATGTCTATGCTGTTCATGAGTAGAACGCCCCATCGGCCACCTCTCTCGAGTTTGAAACTTGAATCGATTGATCATTCATAGTGCCAAATGGCTATGCAGACGGAGTATAACCAGGAGGGGGCAGGGGGATGGGAGATATATTCTGGAGCTCAGCCCCAGACAGCTCCGAATGAAATCAAAGCACTCAGTGTAACCATTCCACCCCTGTCCAATGCTCAGTCCAGCAATTTGATTAATGTCCACGCTTCAGACGAGAATTAAACCATTTTGTCTAATCTTTGCCACGTTGTTTGCATTGTTTCCCGTTTTGTTCCGTCCCCTGTAGAGTTTTGTTCGCACCGTTAGCTCAATTGTCACCTTTAGCAGAGCACTCGCGTATGATGTACTTCAATCATCAATAATCGATTTGCAGAGCCAGTGGTGGAAATTCCACATATCTGTGGTAGAAGAGAGTCTCGATTTAAAGCTTTCGTGACTGCAGGGATTCATCTTCTTGGTTCTTTTGGTAAAGTCAGGTAGAAGGGAAGTAATAAAATAGTAAAAATAAAACATAATAAAATACAATTCTCACGACGTTTCGGCCACAACGCAAGCAGCCGTCCTCAGGTGAAGAACAGGTCTGTCGGGGAGACCTGGTCTTCACCTGAGGACTGGCTGCTTGCGTTGTGGCCGAAACGTCGTGAGAATCATTTTATTATGTTTTATTATTGTATTACTTCCTTTCTACGTGACTTTACCGAAAGAACCAAGAAGATGAAGAGAGTCTGTCAATAATACAACTACTGTTGACTTCCCTGCAGAGTGGTACTCATTTTGTCATCACCGAAGGGATGATGGGCTGAGTTAACCCCCAACCAGGATTTGAACTCGCAACCTTCCGATTGCGAGCTGCTCACTCTGAACATGAATGAGTGAACGCGTGCGTGTGTGCCTCTGAGTACGATGTACAGCGGTTATTGTGCTGCGCTACGAACCCGGCGACCCGAGTTCTATTTCCCGCTTATGGCCAAGACCAGTGACGATTATCTGAAGCCGGTCCTAGGCCTCCCCTAGATCGACTCAGTCCTCAAATGAGCACCTGGTGTGGTGTTTAAACATCGCCACTGGGGAGACAAAGGAGGCCGGGCGTGGTGTTGGCCACCCACACCCTCGTGTGCCGTGCCGGCCTTCATAGGTGCTCGCCAACAGCACTTGCCCGAAGAGTCTGTTAAGGCTACACGGGTGATCTTTGTCTTTGTCTGAGCATGTGCGTGTTAGTGTTGGCACGGGTGTGTGTGGTGTGCCTGCCTGCGTGTGCCCGACTGCATGCGTGTCCAAGGATGTGCGAGTGTGCACGTATGCCCATGTGTGTCTGAGCATGTGCAAGATTACATGTTGGTATGTCTGAGCGTGTGTGTGTGTGTGTACGTGTGTGCGGCGGTGGTGGCTGGGTAGCAGCGTGAGTTGCTATCCACATGGAGACAGAGAAGAATGGGGAGGGGTTGGTGGTGGAAGGGCAGATGGTTGAACACAGAGCAGAGCAACAGCTCTGTCCGTCTAACTCTGACTCGCTGCATTCTCCGGATCCCTCGCTCCCATCCCCCACTCCTCACCCACCCACCCGCCCACCCATGGCTGGACCCAAGGGGAGCAGCTCTCGCTCCCACGGCCGCCCTGGCCCGGGATACAGGAGCAACACACACAACGCACACACACAGGGGGATGTATCATCTTATCCAATGTTGGCCAAGTTCAGCGTGACTTTAATCAGCTTTGCATACGGACGGGGAGAGTGGTGCGTGTGCGCGCGTGCTTGGGGAGCGGTGGTGCAGCGGTTAGGTGTACTGCGATACAAATTGAGCTCGATTCCTGCTAAAGGCCAACATTGGTGATGGATCAGAATCATAATATTTATTCATATTGGAGGGATCCGATGAGCTATGCAACTCTTTTTCTCAGTAGTTTTTCACAGATGTCCAGTCGGATATCTAAACCATGTCCTGGGCCTCGCCCAGGTCGACTCAGCCTTAAATTGTACCTGGTGCAGTGTGTGAACATCAGCACGGGGGAGACAATGGTGTCCGTGGTGCTAGCCGCACCGCCCCATCGTGTGTTGTGTTGGCCTTCATAGGTGCTCGCTCTCAGCATTTGCCCCAACGATCTGTGTCACCTTGTATGTGTAATTGATGTGCTTTAAAGGAAAGTATATAATAGGCGACATTGTGACTAATGGACCTTCTTCATAGCGCATAGATTTGTGAGGCAAATAGCAGGGCCATTGCCAGAAATGTTACCTATGTTTCCTTTTAAGGCCACGGTGTTATTGATGAAAGTGTTGTATTATCTGTGCTTGTGCATCACTGCCAATGCAGTGTCGCCCAATAATTTGTATATTTAAAAAAAACTAATATTATTTTACCTTTCATCGTGTCCTCCTTTGAAACAACATATATTTTGTTAAGTCACTAACTATCTCTGTTTTGCCTTGCCTACGCGTGTGCGTGACCAGGAAGGAGATTGAGACGTACATTCTGCCGCCCTTGAAGCCCGAGTTTTGCGTGAGCCAGGCGATGAGGGCCATCCTCACCAACCAGGCGATGATCTGTATCCCACGCCTTATGTACCTCACCGTCTTCATGAAGAGGTGAGCGGACGACGACGCTGCAGGCCCATCGATCAGCACAGGGCACCCAAACACGGTCATTGTTTCGGGGCGTCATAGCGGTTGGGAGGCAAGAAATAAATGCACGTTCGTACCCAGGCTCAGACTGGCCGGTCCATTCCGAGTGTCGGTGGGCCGTTCCGTGTGGAGAAATTGCAAACATGATCAGAGTAACACAAAAACTAAAATTTTGTTAACATATTTTATTACCTCTTATGTGTACGCTTCATTGCTTATTTACGCTACCAGTTGGCACTAAGTCCCCATATTCGGCAGCTCCAAAGATTCTTCCCCACCAGTCCATTTGTTTTATGGACCCGGCACAAATGGGCCATTGAAAATGCAACAGCAAAATGACGCTAATATGTCACATCGCAAATCTAGATACGAGTAGACAGTTTGGCACAACATCTTTTTTTTCAATTGCCTATAGCTAGATTTTGGGCCGGTGTGTCTACAAATGCCTAGGCCGATTTTTAGTCCCAGTCCATCACTGTTTGTACCCCTTTTTCCACTTGCACATCTGAACTGTGCCAGCACGGGGCAAGCACGACACGGGTGGTTTTCCACTGGCTAAAAATTCCTTTCCAGAGATGGAATTTGAAACAATATTTAGATGGGGGTATTATTGTTGTTGTGCACAGTCATTGGAGCCCCCCCTGAGACTGTCAATGTACTCCATTTGGCAACCCAGTTGAATCACAGGCAGCTGAAACCCAGGACCTCAGCAGTGCCCGCTGAGTGCCCTCACCCCCAGAGCCACCTGGCAACCTCACGTTTTTTTGACGCGGAAATTCTTCCGTCTGCTCCCTCACCCGTCCATCCACCCACCCCCCGTTTCTGCGCGATGGTTCCTCCCGTGCAGCATTCTGCCGTGGGAGGCGATCGTCACATTCTACCGCTTCGTGGGGGCCGACAAGTGCATGTACCCGTTCTTCGCCGAGCGGAGGCGAGCCCTCAACAACAACCAGAAGGACACGCCGTGGGACATGAACTCTCCCGAGCCGGCGTGCAATGGGCAGAAGGAGATCTGAGCGTGCGCGTGAATGTGCGGTTACGTGTGTGTATGTGTGTGTGTGTGCGATGCTTGTGCGCGTGCGTGTGTGTGCGCGTGGGTCAGTGAGTGCCTGTACATGTGTACGAGTTTTTTGGTCTTTGAAAGCCATTAAAAGCGCGTGTCCCTTACCACCTTTCATTGCGTCAAAGTTGAAAACCATCAGTGTTAAAGTAGGGATGAGGTTAGGGATTTAACCGTATCAGATTTTTTTAGGACATTTTTAGATCATGACAACGATATGATAATGTAAAGTGTCTTAGTTCTATCGATGGTAGCATTGCCGGATGCCACAAAAATGCGGAAATGACGTAATGTTCGTTACACCACTGGCAGTTTTCAGATCAATCTGAAACAAACTAAATATTTGGATCATGTGAAAGTTAATTTCTAGGCTGGGTTTTTAGATATTTCAGATTAAAATATGACCCTTTTCCACCATCAGTCATTGGCATCTCGACTGTGATTTTCTTAAAAATGAATAATCATATTTGTCATGAACATCAATCATCACGTCATTATTCGCTCATTACTGCAATTACTTCAGTGCATGGGTGTTACCAGATTTCCATCAACATCATCATCATTATTTACATAATCGTCAAACTGGCACATCCTTATCACAAGCATCTTATCGTCCCAGACACCAGCATTGTTACCGCCATTGTAGGCTACCTGTACAATAAGCGAACTGGTCCTGGTCAAGAAAGGGATCGGACTCTTTTCTGTGCTGGCATTGATGCATGGTTTAGGATGTTTAGTTTGTTGTCCTTCCCTGCACCTCCGATTAACACGTTTGGCTACGTACGGTGCGAGGAAGCGTACATAGTGGTGTCAGCAGTTCAACCCACCCAGCAAGCTGTAATAAAAATACAAACCTTACTATTACCCAGTGGCGATTGTCGCATCCGTTACATAGGGGGGCACCACCTCTTGCAGGGTTGCACCCATGTGGACGGTGGCATGGCCAAGCAGTAGCTCGCTTCTCGCTTGTCGAGGAAGTTATTGGATCGAGCTCAGTGGCCACCCTGGTTAACATTGCCCATAAATACTACGCGCCATCCCGCTTCGTGATATATGTTAAAGGATCGGTTCACTTGACCAATGCTGCCACTAGAGGTGCTACATTCATCGCTATGTTACAAAAAAACGATTGATTCTTGAATCAAATCACTACCCCCCGAAAGGGAGTCGGGACGGGGGTGGGGGGAGCGATATGTTTGTAGCTGAATCAATAGCAACAGACTCTGTGACCTACTTGAATAGAATATCCGCTGATGTTGCTGCTGCTATGTCAAGATATCCCTGCTTTGTGTTTCCCTGGCAGACAGCCCAGTAAAACGTGTTACGTTGGGCCCAACGTTGGCATGTGTTTGGGCCAGTAAAAATGTAACGTTGGCCCAACGTTCCACGTGAACCCAGAGAGTGTCTTCTGAGCTGCTCGTGAGAATCGCACAAGGCCAAGGGTCCTCGATCCAACAAGTCCATGGGCCCCGATGCTGAGATGCATGTTGAGACACATTCAATGCACGTGCTACGTTTTTTTTTTGCACAAGCAAGCACGCAGCTCTACCTTTACTTGCCGCACCTGTACGTGAGCATTGACCGCGCAGTCGTATAACAAACGAACGAACGGAGACGTGTAAACGGTCGAGTCGTACGACCGTGCAGGGGGACCTCGCGATGCTAGAAGTGCTGAAGACCGTTGACGCGACGTGAGGACGAGTGCGGGGCACTGGACCGCGCGCCACCAATGTGGTGGGTGGCGAGTGGCCCGCCACGTCTCGACGGTAGGGGGTTCACTCCCCTCTACACAGTGGTGGAAGTTTCGCTTTCCCCACGGCTGCCGCAACGTAACGGTCAGCGCGCTGGAATTTTGTGATCCGGAGGCCGCGGCCGGTCAGATTCGATCTCCCGACGCGGCGGTTGAAAACAACGGCGCGGGGTTTCGTAAATTCCTTCGCACCTCTGACCACCGGGTGGTACAAATAGAGAAACAACGCAGCAGGTTGTGTGATCTGGGATAAATGGTGGGTGACTTACACCGCTTTCAAGACATCTGCCCCCAGGCATTGAAGAGTTGGCCAAACAGAATCTCTGAGGAGTTCTCCACAGTTCGGTCGAGTGGAGGCCCTTCCACCAGGAGGGAAAATTGCAGGGCTGCACCTTTACCTGTGGCAGGGGTGCGTCATTGTGTAGGATAACAACCGGTGACTTGCCACAAAGTGGCGCACAGCTTATTGACCCCCCCCCCCCAGAGGGATGAAGGGCTCATTTGATGTCTGACAAAACGCAACCTTAAAATGAATGACAGTAATTGGGTGCTGCCTAATCCTTCCTGACACTCCTACTATAGGGATCACACTTAACTCCAGACCTGCTGGGTTGCAGTTGCTATCGTTCTCCAGTAGAGATTAGTTTCGGATTAAAAAACAAATTCGGATGTTGAATTGTTGAAGGCCACTTTGGACTTTTTCCAGATCTTCGGATCATTTACACGATGTAACTCATTTGACGCGTCTTGGTGCTAACACGTGACATCACCCGTGACGTCACTGTTGGTGGGAAAGCTGCGGAGGTGACGTCATAAAATCGACGGCACTCTTTGTGACGTCAGGTTTTCGGACCATCCACATTTTCGCATCGAGGCCCGGTTTTCTGATTTCTTTTTTTTTGGATGAAGAATTTTTTTTGGGAATTCGTCCCAAGTCCGCTGCAGTTTGATGTCCTCGGATATTGACTCGGCCGCTGTTGATCGTGGCCAGCAGCTAAGAAGTTGTGCTGCAGCGGTACTCCTCTAGGAGAGCTGCTATCAGCTTCATATTCTCGCCCCATTTTACCAGTAAACAAAACATGTCACCTCCATTTCACGCTCTCCTTTGTGAATCTCTGTGAGTCTTTTACTCCCGGATCACATCGGTTCCTTCCCTTCTCTATTCATACGTTCACGTCTCTTTCCGTGTCCCTAGATTTCTTGTTTTTTTATGTGGGGGAGGGGGGAAGAGGGGAGGTGGGGGGGGGCTTTTCCTGCAACAGTTTTATCCAAATTGTGCGCACTGCATCGTGCCTTACGACAAAGTGCCCATTCCATACCCGCAGTGCAGTGCATCACCCCCTGTAGCCCTTGGAACAAGCACAGCTTATCAGCACCACGCAAAGGTGATAAATGCTTCAAAGTTGAACCTGAATGATGTATGACAGCACGGTCACCGTGGTGGCTTTTACAAACAAACAAAAAGGAAAATGGGTCATCGAAAAATGGTACCGTAGTCATTTTTTTTACAGAATATCGTTTTGGTAATATATGATACGAATCATAAAACAGCAGGTCCATTAAGCTTCCTGGTCATGGTGAACACGAGTTCGCGGTGTACGCTGCGTATGATGGCTAATGCCCGAGGTGAATATATTTAGCATTTGCCATCCCAAGTGGTACCGATCAACCCCCCTTGGCTCACGGACTACATGTTTTGGGGAGAGTTAGAGACATGACAAAACTATGATAATTGTTTTTTTTACCCTTTTATCTGGCAACGAAACTGACACCTTTTTTTACAAGGAGTCATGTTTGCATAGAGCCATAGACCACAATACCTGCAGTCGGAATGCAAACAAAAACATAATTCTGATAATGTATGCACTGTCCTTGAAATTGATTGGTCCACACCCGAGACAGCTTTCTTTAGAGCCTAGTCTCACATGGTATTGGACCAGATGACGCCAAAAGGCGCACAACTCAATGACAATACACTATCAGAGTATGAGAGCTCGGGGTAAGCATTTACACCATTGGAACCTCATTTTCCAGTAGCAAAATATGATAATTGTTTTTTTTCTCTATGCAAAAAGGTGTCAGTTTTGTTGCCAGATAAAAGGGTAAAAAACGAATTAGATTTTGCTACTGGCAAATGAGGTTCCAATGGTGATCACAAAAACTACTTCTGATGTCGCTTCGAGTGACCTCTGTTATCCGTACGCTGCAGTCGCTGCACTCTCCCCCAGATCCCGCTACACAGAGACACGTCCACTGCATGGAATATCACACTTGGTCTCGTGTTGTGTTATATGTTTTCTTCTTCACGTTTTTTTTTTCTTTCCGTCCAATGTTATTGCGATTGTGCTCACGGCATCATGTCATGAGACGCAGTATCCACGCGTAACTTGCGCAGCGTGTTCGTTACAGGGATGTGTCAGTGTGGACTGGTGGAAGGGAAGGACAAGGACTGGCTGCTGTGAGCCATGATCCTTGGAATCAAACTCATGATACCCGGGTCCATGACGCAGTGCGTGAACCACACCGATCCCCGCTCACTGCTCTGTACATAACTTACTCTCTCGATTGACGTGCGGTTTCAGAAGTGTATCGTTGAAGCCACCGCCGGCGTTTTCTATCCCTTAAACAAATTAATATTTTTTACATTGTAAGATAGTAGTGAGCGACAATGTATCCGCTCTTTTGTCTGTTGTACAAGTGTGCATTTTAAACACGAGCTCTCATATAGACAGAAACTGCGGGAAGCTCTGTGCCTGTAATGCTTACAAATTACTCTCGGAATAGTTTTGCTAAAATATGTTCCTGTGTTTAAATGTCACGTTACGATTAAAATATTAATAGTAATTATTATTACAATTATGATGACGACGACGACGATAATAATAATATTAATAATAATAAAAAAATGGAGCTGAACCTGTCACTATACTTGTGTTACTACTTGGCAGTCACCTGACGTGTTGTTCAGTTGCCAGCGGAGAAGGGTTCATAACTGGCCACAGCCAGTGAGTTCGAACCCTCTCATCTCGCCAGCAAGAAGCCCCCCTTTCTCAAGGGAGCCCCCCTTGAAGGTGACCCGCTGCACTTCTGTTCTGTGTCTCATCACGTGAACGTGGCCATCTTGTGACGCTACCGTACCTGCGGGGACCTTCCGCTGCCAGCGTCGTCGCCAGATCCGTCCGTGTCTTCTCCAAAAACCCAGTTGACCACCCTTCCGCTCACTTGCGTTTTCCCTCGGCCTTTCGGTGTGGGGCCCCTCTAGGTCTGCTCAGCGCGTAATGGCTTCTGCATATGATCGAGAATCTTGTGTACTATAACACACATATTTGCACAATTTACCCAACAATATTTGCTCAAATAAATACACTGGTCAACAACAACAAAAAAACGTTTTTTTCTGGCCTGGACTTTTGCAGCTGTTTTAGACTAATTTCAGGGTGCTGATTCCAAATCTGATCTCAGATTTGCTCTATCACATCTCATTGTTATGCCATCGGCATACCCCATTTTCATTGATTTTACCAGAAATTCACTCTGTCACTTATGATTGCAAGTTGTTGCGAGTCAGTGACTGCTTTAGTGTTAAAATATGGAGCTGTATTTTTAGGATAGTGTGTTTATAATATCATTTTATGTAGATATCCACATTTATTTAATATTTTCTTCTGCAGTTTTTATTGAAAATGCAATATATGATATCTCAAAAACCTGATGTGATAAACAAAAACTGATGCCAGATTTGGAATCAGCACCCCAAAATTACCTTAAAACCGTTGGAATACCTTATGCCAGAAAAAGTGTGTTGACCAGTGACATAAATAATCAACTGAACAGGCATGGTGCCGAGCTACTAGTGCATGCTGTGATGCAATTTTTTTTTTATGTTTACGATATAAATGCCCACAATATAATGAGCATATTCTCAACTCCGATTGATCTTATTTTGCACCGCTACGTGCGGTGCAAAAGAAGTTCAACATCCATGATTCAGCTATAACCTCAACTCTTTTATCAACACCACTGTGGCCTTAAATAAAAATGTATATCAGGTGATGTTTCGGGCAATGGACTTTCTTCTTAGCACATTTACACATCACTTTACATGATGGGGCCTGAAAATAATCTTTTTATATTTCCTCGTGAACTTTTAGTTTTTTTTTTAATAGTTAACTATTTAGTAGCTATTGAGTAACAGACAAAACCTTTAATAATTACTCTGGAAAACATTTTACGAAGCACTCGCGTAATGGCTAATAGATATATCTATATACACTGCACCCATCTCAGGCCTATATAAGACCTTGTTTCAGTAGCTTTCTCTCTCGTGATCTATTAATTTTCTATCTACGTGACTTTACCGAAAGAACCAAAGAGTATATTTACACTGCTTACAAATTAAAGCAACTTATTGTGCATGCTATTTCATTCACATTTTTTGGCAGGAAATAAAACGTTAATATAAAAATCAAGGAAAAATCATCACGATATTAATTAAAAAGTACAATGATATCTCCTGGATCTATCTACCATAATTTGTTTGCAGTATGGCCAAACCGCGTCCACCCCAACAGCTACTATGCCTCGACTACAGCACATACGAATCATATAACACATCGTAGCCTTTCTCAATCGCTGAGAAACACATTTTGCACGTTTCACCCGGAGATAACTGACACACGCGTCTTGTAAGAGAGTGTTTTAATTTATTTACATTTTTGACCGCTGAAATTTAGATTCACGGTTTAGGACAATGACCTTTGAACTCCTGCCGAGGCAAAGGGGGTTAGAATAAGGCCGCATCTTCCACGCGAATGCTTCTGGGCGTATGTTGACGCTTCATTGAGCCGTTTTCCTCTTATTCCAAGGTTTTCAAAGTGGACGATGAACAGGTTCGTAGGGTTAATACGCACACACGCACGAACACCTTCCAAGAGTAAAAACAATACAAATCGCCTGTCTGGCCACAATGTTGTGTCTGCTGTGGACCCCAGAATTGTTGATAGACCCCCCCCCCCCCCCCGTACTGAGGAGAGAGGCAGGCTTTGGGCCCTGAAAGGGCCTCTCTAGCCTGCCTCTTAACAAAAAAACATATCTTACGGAACATTTCACTTTATACATTTAATGCAGTTGGGCTGATGCCATAGCTTGTAAATTCGTGGCCTATAAATACGTGGAATTCTTACGTGATTTTAAGTGAAATTTATACACAATTCCATGTTCAGGCGAAGGGCATGACTACACTCTTTTTTTTACAGTTCCAAACTTTGCTAACAGATCCTCTACAACATGTCATGGAGAGCAGCAACATTTCTCAACGCATTTTGTATTCCCCACCAAGCTGAGACAATCTAATCCAATAATCCTTGTAAATTCACCGGCTACTGTGGGAATTGTAATGCAAACTGCATGCACGCTGCCTCAATGGCAAACGTTCGGACTGCTAATGATTTACATTTGAAACAGTGGCCACCTCAACTGCAAGGGAACAAAGCAAAATATAAAGCAGAACTCCACAGTCTGTCGACACGTCAATAATATATACATCTACCAGCCCATCAGCCGGTATGTGGAGACACAGACCAGAGTCCTGTTCATGTTTGTTTGTACTCGTAATCATGTGACACGGCGAACCCACGACCAATCTGTGTACAGCAAGAGTCTCGGGCGGATACAGATCTTGCTGCCAGGCAAAGTCCACAAACCTGCTCACCGTCGCCGTTCGCGAGATGCTATTCCTACTGGATGCCTGATCTCTCTATATTCGCACTTCCGATTCGCACGGTTGCCCACGTACGGTGCGAAAGAAGTTCAAAGAAGTACATACATCACACGCTCCATGCTTGAGGGTGCCGGTCGGGTTACGAAATACCAAGTCAAGAGTCAGGGAAATGCCCATCTGCGAGCAGTGCATCACCTTGTGACAGAGAACAGCCCTGGAAGTTGATGTAATAGATGTTTTCATTGCAGTGTTCTTCGTTGCAAGGCCCGCGGGTCACTGACGGCCCCTTGTGGCCTTTAGTGCGGCCCCCTGATGTGCCGCCCTCGACAATACACAACACGTGACAACAACCCCCATCGTGCTGTCAAAACAAACGGTTTCAAATGTGTGGCAGCCATCAACACTGACGTCGTATCAGCGAAAGTGCCCCCCGCCCCCCTCTGAGAATGAGTGAAGAACTCTGTTGCACTGTCATCGTGTCTTTCGCTGTCAG